GATAACTACCAATCTAAAATCAATACACAACCAAAAGCGCCAGAAAATCAAACTATGTGGAACTCTGACAACCAAGGAATTAAAGAAAAAATCAACCAGAACAACCAGACCCATAAGGCAGAGGACCACGTGCACCGTGCACCGACTCAGAAAAACCATGACAATGTGGCAAGGGGGCAGACCGTGGGGGTGGGGCTGGCTGCTGAGCTCAAGGGCTGCATGGGAGGGGCTGACCTAGGGGGAAACTAACACTCAGAGATGACTGAGGGGTTTCTCCCAGTCTGACACTAGAGTTCGTTGAAAAGTACCCTCCAGCAAGCAAGCAGGTGCACTGTTCCCTTTCCTGGCCCCTCCCCCACAGCAAAGAGGGTTGCCCTGCCCCAGTGAATACCTAAGGCTCCACCCCCTTACAACTTAGCCCCTGGGCCAATACAAAGAAATATGGCCCAAATGAAAGAACAGAGCAAAACCTCAGAACTAAGCTATGAGGAGATTGTCAACATATCTGATGGAGAATTTAAAGTCCTGGTAATCAAAATGCTCACAGAACTGATTGAACTTGGTCAAAAAAATGAAAGAACAAATGAAAGATACCCAAAATGAAATAAAGCAAAATATTCAGGGAACCAACAGTGACAGGAAGGAAACCAGGACTCAAAGCAATGATTTGGAACAAAAGGAAGAAATAAACATCCAACCAGATCAGAATGATGAAACAAGAATCCAGAAAAATGAGGAGAGGCTGAAGAATCTCTGGGACAACCTTAAATGTTCCAATGTCTGAATTATAGGGGGGCCAGAAGGAGAAGAACAGCAGCAAGAAATTGAAAACTTATTTGAACAAATAATGAAGGAGAACTTCCCCAATCTGGTGAAGGAAACATACTTCTAGGAAGTCCAGGAAGCTCAGAGAATCACAAAGAAGTTGTACCCAAAGAGGAACACACCAAGGCACTTCATCATTAAGTTACCCAAGATTAAAGTTAAAGAGAGAATCCTAAAAGAAGCCAGGGGAAAGGAGAGAGTTACCTACAAAGGGGTGTCCATTAGGATATCAGCTGATTTCTCAAAAGAAACCTTGCAGGCAAGAAGGGTCTGGAAAGAAGTATTAGAAGTCATCAAAGGCAAGGACCTACATCCAAGATTACTCTATCCATCAAAGCTTTCATTTAAAATAGAAGGGCACAAAAAGTGCTTCCCAGATAAGGTCAAGTTAAAGGAGTTCATCACCAAGCCATTATTATATGAAATGTTAAAGGGACTTATCTAAGAAAAAGAAGATAAAAAGTATGAAGAGTAAAATGGCAACAAATTCACAACTATCAACAAAGGAACCTAAAAGAAAAGAAAAATAACAAAAACAAAAACTAAGCAAACAGAACAGTAACAGAATCAGAGAAATGGACATCACACAGACGGATTTCAGTGGGGAGGGGAAAGGGAGGAATAGGGGGAAAAAGGTACAGGGAAGAAGAAACATGGTTAGTAGGCATAAGGTAGATGGAAAGAGATAAAAACAATGGTATGGGAAACAGAGGACTCAAAGAACTTATATGTACAACCCATGGACGTGGATTAAGGGGTTGAAAATGCTAGAGGGTTGTGGAGGGCAGGGCAGAGGGGGGATAGAGGGGGAAATTGAGAAAACTGTAATAGCATAATCAATAAAAAATACTTAAAAAAAAAAAAGGAAGAAACATCAACTTGAGGTTGCCTCTCATGTACCCCCTACTGGGGGCCTGGCCTGCAACCTAGGCATGTGACCTGACTGGGAATTGAGCTGGTGATCCTTTAGTTCGTAGGCAGGCATTCAATCCACTGAGTCACACCAGCCAGGCCAAAATATTCTTACTTTTTGTTAACTCATCAGACCTTGCATTATATTTATATTATTTTGATCAGCTGTATGAAACTAATCATGACTAATTGTCATGATAACCAGAAGAGTCAGTCAGAAGAAATTTAACACTTAGAGATTTGTACTTACAGGAAATTAAAAACAAGTTTATGGAAAAATATAATAATACAATCAATGAAAAATTTTAAGCACATGGTTACATTATTTTAGGATAAAGTCCTGTGGGGGATTTAGAAATATGTGTTCTAGGATAAGGGAATTCCTAGGTGTTGGAGAAAAATGTATTTTTAAATGGGTGATTGTATTTATATTCCATCAAATATGTGGTATTTGGTCTCCACTGCATACACTGAAAAAAAAAGTGACAGTTTTATTTTTAAATGACAATATTTATAAAATACCATAAATCATATCCCTTGCAATTATTTAGACTCATGATGAAATGTTTGTGTGTCAACTTTAAAACATATGAGGTAATACAGGGTTTTAAAAAGTGAACTTAGTGATTATCTCAGTGAACACATTTGAAAACCAGTGTAATAATTCCCAAGTAAACTATAATATTTCACAGATTCTCCTAGGAGAGGCCCAATGGAAAGACTGTAGATTTCTACTGTGATCAAATCTCTGCTCTCTTGTTAAGCCAAGTCCATCAGCAAAAGAACTATTTGGAAAATATTTGCTGAGAAGCACTTTAAACTCTGGGGTCAATACTGCATTTGATAGTTTATTCAATGGTCATGACCATGCATCGTATTTTAAGACTCCTCATTGATATATGGTTGAGGAGTGGAGCCTGGCTCTCAAAGATTGTGAATGCTGGATGTATGATTAAATACCCAACATGGTGTGGGCCTTAGTTAAGGTCCTTAATTAATGCTGGTCCCCTTTCCTTTGATTCCTCTAAGGACACACCACATGGTTTACTGGGACATGATTTAGCCATATTACAGGTCAAATCATTTCCTCCAAACCTAACAAACTATATGCATCCTTCTGCTACAAATAAAATCTTTACTGTTCATCTATAAAATTTGGGATAATAATTTAATAGTATCTACTTTGATATAACATACTAATATCTATGTCACAGAGATGTATACATGTGGACTAAACTATATATTAAGCACTTGATACAGTAATTGGCATGTGGGAGATAACAGTAAATGTGAGTTTCCTTTTCCCTTTCTTTAATTGGTATTTATCCATAGTATCTTCTAGACCAAGTTCAAAATCTCACTTAGCTGAGAATACCTCAAATCAATCTTTCCACCTTAATCAGATTACTGTCTTCTGTGTCACATTTAATTTGAAGTTAATTATTTGGTTTATTTAAGTACTGGTAAGAATATACTCTATATAAACTACTGTATTGAATGTTTAAGGAGGTAAGTAGACCACTGGTCCCTGACCTTGAGGCACTTGGTTGAGGTGATGATATAAACAAAAAGTTAAATAGAAATGAAAGGCAGGGTGGGACAAAGTATACAGAAAGTAAATGTGGTAGGAGTTTTGAGATTATAGTGACTGATCTGTTACTGTTTTGTTCTTGGGAATTAAAGAATTATTAAGAGTTTATAAGGGAGTTTCAGTTTTATGGCTGAGAAAACTGGAACAGAGATCTATGTGGTATAAGCACCCAGCTCTGGAGTGGCAAAGGTTTCCTGTCTCCTGGTCCCATGCTGCTAGTAGATGTTTCCAACTATTTTCAAATACATTAATCAGTTTACGTTTGCTCTTTCTAACCAGGCAGTTTCATGTAGCTAGTTAAGCACTGGGTTCTGAAGCCAAAATGTTTGGATTTGAGTCCTGGCCTTGCCAGTTACTATGTGGGTGATTTATCTCTATGTGCCACTTGCCCCATCTATAAAATAAGCATGATAATAGTGCCTTTTTTTCATAGGGTTGTTGTGAGAGTTAAATAATATATGCAAGGCATTAAAAACTGTTGTTTTGTCATCTTAATTGCTATTAGTCTGAGAGAATGGAAGGCAGAAAGTCTAGTCTTCTAATGTTGTTTTCTCTCTTTAGCTTTTTTAATATAACCTCAGATTCTGGTCAAGGCATTCAGCTGGGGTGTTCATAAATATGTGTTATCTAACTTAGTCCTATTAGATAGAAACAAGTTTTTGTATCTCAGAAGTGAGATTTGGGATTTGTTTCAAGGCTGGCCTAGTCTGGTAACAGAAAAGTCTAGAAAAGTAAAAACTGAGATACCAACAGATTCTAGAACCCAACAGAGCTTCTTTAAAAAAGACAGTCAGGATCATTAGATGCAGAGAAAAATGGAGGTCAAGGAAATCTAATTCTAAACGAGCTTTCCCACATATTTTATGATCTATTCCAAACTTCCTTAGACAGAATCTAGCCTTTTAAGGAAAGTGCAGAGAACATGCCTCTGTGGGCTTGCTTTGAGGGACTGTTTTAGCAGGTGCTGTGTTTTACCCTGGAGGTGGCTGCATGAATTTGTGAACTGCGATGACAATATTGACTCCCTTCGGAAGAAAAGATGCTGTCTCTACACAGGAAGTTTAACTATAATGGCACTACTTGAAACAAGGAGGAGGAGAAGAGGTAGAAGGAAAAGAGGGAGGAGGAGAAGCAGCAGTAACGTCACTGTCAGCCCAGTCACAGCTCAGTTCAATGTTTAGATTAGAAAAAGCAAGCAAGATTTTTTTTTTTTTTCCTGGAGCACCCTTCTCTACGCTCCTCAAATACCTGCTGAAAAAAATCTGGGACAAAATATAAGCTAATAGGGCTGCCGCAAAATTAGGGATGGGGAGAGCAGGTGAAGGTGAGAAATAACCTGTATTCAGGGGTTAGAAAAATCATGTTTTTCTTGGGGGGGGGGCGGGGAGCTGGGACTTGTCAATCTCTATCTGGAAATCCAGGGATGGAGAAGGGGACCGACTGACCGGCGATGCAAATCTTCTGCATTTGACAGATAAAAATCGCATGGTCTATCTCCCATCCCCGGCACTCAGGTGATATCAGGGTAAAATAAGCATCAAGAGGGGAGAAAAATATATAACAGGTCAGCCTATGGATCTTGTGTGGGAGGGGGTCAGCATCAGCAAAGGTGGAAGAATTTAGGGTCACCGCCAGCAGACGAACCTCAAAGTTTGGGGTCAGCGCTAAGGGGTCATATTTCCTGATACCCAGTATCTGTCCTGCACACACCTTGTCAGTTTCTCGGTTTTAGTCGTGCCTGTAGATTCTCAGACCGGCCACTGAGTTACTAAGCGTTCTCGCAGTGCAAAGCTCAGAGCTGAATGCGGAGCCGGTTTTCAATAACATCTGGGACCAAAGGAGGCTTTTAAGTTGGGGACAGAAAGGCACTGGTTTCATTTACGTTAGGGTGTGGTCCTTATATCAACTGCCAGCAAAATTCTTCTGATCACCATTGGGCTTCCACCTTCTGCCCAGGCAGGACTGGCTAGGGGGATAAGCGGTTGCGCTGTGTCCTTCAAGTGTCAATCTTGACCCATTTGGAAACCACAAACCCCAGAATCCCTTGTGCCAGGAGTTCAAGCCGCAAATAAGATGGCTCCAGAAGGGTGGAACATGCCGCAGGGTGGAAACCCGAGTCCCTGGCAGTTTTTTTTTACCGGATGTATTCAAATAACCGAATCTCCACAAATGCACCACCCCACTAACCACCTTCGAGGACCGGGGGGCCACCGCCTTGCTGGCTTCTCCAGGACATCCTGGGAATTGTAGTACAACCGCTGGGGTGCGCCAAACTACCTCTCCCGAGGTGACCTGCGGATTGGGCGAGATCGATGTTCTTTTCCAAAACTCTCTGCACCGAGACCCCCTTTCCCTAGTCCGGTTCTTTCTGACGACCCCTTCCCATCTGTCGCGACAGAGAGGCGGTGGTAGGTGGGCCCAGGCTTAGCCGCGCTACCCGGAGAGGCACTTCCGGCGGTGGTTCACTTCCTGGTTGGGTGGATGGAGCTGAGCGGGAGCGCGCGCGGGGGAGGGGCGGCGGGTCAGTCTCCGCCGGGCGCTTCGAGGATCAGCTGGCGGGCGGGCGGGTGCCGTACACGGCCCGGCTCTCGCTGCAGCGCCGCCTCCTTTCCCCCACGCAGGCAGGCCTGGCGGCCGTGACAATGTTGCGGGGCTGGTAGCTGGGCGCCGGTCGTCGAGCCTTCTCAAGTGGGTGCTGCCGGGATGCTGCCTCGAGGGGAGGTGGGGAGACCGGGGAGGAGCGGGACGGATTGGGGGGCACCAGTGGCCCGCTGAGTCGGCGCTGTTCCAGGCGGCCCGAATTCCTCCTTTTTTCCGAGCCCCGGGCACAGGGTCCCAGGTTTGGGGGCCGAGGACGCGTTTTCAGCCCCAGGGTTTTTCTCGTTAAGAAAATGCAGCAAGCAAGCATTTCCCCAGGTTGATGGCTTTTGCTCCCTCTAAGACTCAGCAGTTGAATTTTTTAAGTATGTTACTGATTCATCCTGTCTCTCTTCCTCTGTCATCACAGGTTTAAACTTACACGAATCGCTCTTTTGAGGAGGAGGGGACCACCACGCAATTGACGCGCATATTCTTATAGCCATCCTCCCTCAGCCCCCACCCCCACGGCTGGATTCGGGTGGCTCCTCTCCGAACTGAAATCCGAGAAGAAATCCTTGGATCTCTTGTTTTCTTAAAAAAAAAAAAAATCTAGAAGCTGTCGGTATTTTGCTTTACTGCGTCCTATTCGCAAGATGAAGAAGTTTTTTGACTCCCGGCGAGAGCAAGGCAGCTCTGGCCTGGGCTCCGGCTCCAGCGGAGGAGGGGGCAGCACCTCGGGCCTGGGCAGTGGTTACATCGGAAGGGTCTTTGGCATTGGGCGACAGCAGGTCACTGTGGACGAAGTGTTGGCAGAAGGTACGGTAGGACTCTTAAGTGCGCCGTAAATGAAAATCTTGGGTTGATGCAGCACGATTCTGGTTTCTAGTTGTTGAATGTATGAATGGATTTTGACCAGTTGACACTCCCTTCCCCTTCCCGTGCCCTGTGAATCAATGTCCTTGAGAAATTTAAAATTGAGATTTGAAAGTGCCAGGGTTTATGAGGCAGGGGGAGGTTGCTGGACATGTTTACCTCAGTGGTCTTTTATTTTATTTTTAAGAAAACATTGACACACCAAATCTTGAAGATCAGGTGAGAAAAACCTAGGTGTGAAAGTATGAAGCTTTACATCAAATGTAGGGTGATGGGCTTGTCATTCTCCTAAAACTTGAAATAATTGATGTGAGGGCTGGAGAGGGGTTTCCCTTTCTTTTTCTTCTACCCAACTTTCCCATTGCCATGAGCAGGCAGTGGAAAGAAGAGAGGATTTTCAGAAAATGGAAATGTTTTTCTGAGAGCTAAGTCTCTTGGTGAGTTTGATGAGGTTTCTTGACCCAACTGTAATCAGGTCCTCAGGATGTAGCTAAGATAACAGATATTACATGAAATGAATGTGGTTATTTTGAAATCAGTCAATAGGCCCCTCTTCCTTCTGTTTCAGGTTGTTGTTGTTGTTTTTTTAATGCTGAAAGAATTACTTGAGAGTGGCATCTGATTTTTTCCTTTTTCTGTATTGGGTATGTTATTTAGATCTGCTGTATTTGCTGTGCAAATTCCACATCTAAATCTATACTTTTAGTTCCCAGACCTTCTGGAAATCTTTGCATGCCTCTTTTGGTAACCTTAACCTCGACCTTCGTAATTATACCAGACTCATACTTTTTACAGCCCATTGCCTATGTAGTGTGCTTTTATTTTTTAAAAAAGCAGCAATTTCCTTGGCATGAAGCTCTTCAAACTAATTGGATGGGGCCAATCTACTCTAGGTTGTGTTATCTGCTGCAAGGGGGTGGGGGAAGGGAAGGCCTCTATTGCTGCAAATGTTGGTGGAACTGGGGAAGGAGACTTTTTGTAAGCTAAGGTTGAAGCAAGAGTTCCAACCAGGGCCTGGGAAATGCCTGCGGGCAGGTTGGGAGGAAGAAGAAGCTGTGTTTGGCTCTCAGCTTGTCTAAGCAGTGGATTCAGCAGGGCCCAGTGTTCTTGGGTTAGGGTTGAAGCCTTTGCTTTAAAAACACTGTTTTTAAAAAGGTCTGAAAATGTCCTTGTGAAATTATCGTTCTTCCATTTTCAGTGTAGCTCTAGCTGGACTTAATCTGGGGCCTGAGTCACTGTCCCTCTGGATCTTTCCACAATTGTGGGCTTTGATGCAGGATGGGAGATGCTTCTGTGTTGGCTGCCAGATCCGCACCCTTGAGTCTGATCTGTCTCTTTCATCCCTGTGCCAAAGCCCTTGACTGCATTGGGATGGAGAAATGGAGGAGAGCGTGTAAGAGAAATTGGGAGGAATGATGGAGTGCATAGCTCTTTCCATTCCTCTGAATGGCCTCTGCTGACCCAGGAGCATTTTGTTCAGCTCGGATATTGTCTCACTGTAGACAGTGTTACCCTAAGTGGTGCCTGTTCTCAGTCTGTGCGATGGGAAAGAGAAAAGGCAAAATTGGTCTTTGTTATCTAGGCTGCTCTCTTCTTCCCCAGAATTCATCCCTGAAAAATACACATCATGCATTATTTTTAAGTGAAACTTAGGGCTTGTAGCTGTCCATTCATTCATTCATTCATTCAGCAAACAATTGTGGAGTGTCTTTGATGTGCCAGGCACTGTGCTAGGCTCCGGGGATATGATATAGAACTAGATGCTGGAGTTTACAAACTACTTTGAGAGATAGGAAATAGCCAGTTAGAATGAGTGACGTGCTATCATGGAGATAAACTTAGGGTGGCCCCCAATTTTAGAGAGCCAAGAATTGCTTTCTACAGGAAGTGACTGGCTAAAGAATGAGTAGGAGTTACCTAGGTATTGTGAATCATAGACAAAGACTCAGAGTAATAAGAGAGAGTCTCATGTAAGACCAGGTCTGTCAATATTGCCCTCTATGGTTTTTTGAGTAGAACTGAGTTTGAAAATGTGACCCTTAGACATGTGGCTATGTAGGAGCCAGTATACAAAGTATTTGTAGCACTTACCAAATACAAAGGCATCACTAAGTTCTTGAGAGGGACATGGGGAGCTCTAAAGTGTAATGTCTGCCTTTAAGGAGCTGTCAGTGAATTTGGGAATACAAGGCAAACATTCACACATACAACAGCATGGTTATCAGCCCTGTGAAGTCAGGCATAACTAGGTTCAAATTCTGGACCTGTTCTTTACTAGCTGTGAAACCTTAGGTAAGACATTTTAAACCTTTCTTGAATCTCTGTTTTCCTGTGGGCAGATCTTAAACCATGGAGCCTGGATCAGGAGCAATATCTGGGAGCTTGCAAATGCTCAGGCCCATTCCACAAACCATGGGTATAGGGCTTTAACAAGTTCTTGGAGTGATTCTGATGCAAGTTAAAGTTTAAGAACCACTGTCCTGTGGAGTGGTCTTGAAGATGATATGAGGCAATGAATTATTTAACATTTGTTTCAGGTGTTTGGTAAATGGTAGCCCTTATTTACTAGCACCATTACATCATACATATAGTTAAGTGGGAGTGAGAGTGGCAGTGTGAAGGCTAGTGTGGCTACAGGAATCTTCAGGAATTTTTTTCCCCCCATTGTGGGCGGACAGAGCCAGGTGTTCTTTGCAGAAGTCTCATCAGCTCTTTGAAGGGTCAACAGAAGTTTTGGATAGTCATGTTCCTTCCTGGACCCTCTTCTGTTTGAGGTGTCAGGTGCTGACCTGGCTACCAGTCCCAGCCAGAATTGCCTAGGGTTGATAAGAGTTGTGCAGCAAGTGCCCAGGGCAGTTGCCAGGCAGTTCAGGGAGGGATGGTGTGGTGGGCTTCAAACACAGAATTTATTACCTCCATATCCCACCAATCATCCCTTTTTCCCTAATGTGGGTGTTGGTCTATGCTTTATAGTGAGGAATTGCAAGCACCCTGAGGAGGAGGTATTGAAGTAAGACAGGAGAGTGCCTGGCCTGCCATCAGCAACATCAGCTCTGCTTGCCTAGTTGCACTGACTAGTCTAGAGGGGGCTTGTTCGTCTTGGGGGAAATGAAGGCTCTGAGTCATGAGTTCAGAGGAATATGGCTATCTCTAGGCTGGGTGCAAGGGAGTATATTTTTTCTTTAGCTTCCTCAGCAAAGATGCCAGAACAAGAGGCTAAATCATGTCTGATGTAATAGGCATGTGAAGTTAAGGGAAGATTTTGTGTAAGCTTCCAGAATGAGCTCAGTGGGAAAACTGGAGCAATGCTTAAAGAGGACTGAGAAGCTCTGCTTTTATCATACCCCACCTTAGCTATATGAGGCCTTATATCTAAGGCCTTATATGAGGGCTTTACTAAACCATAAGTAAATGTGTGTTGAATACCTACTGTGTTCCAGACAACATTCCAGACTGTTTCAGTTCTATATACGGTGGACAAGGTGGCCCTTTAGAACAGTTTCTCACCTGCACCAAAGGAATCGAGGTCTAGGGCTAATGAGAACTACTGAGTTAAGTCTTCAAATCAGTAAACTTTGACAGTTTCTTCTACCTACAGCACAAGAGAGTGAGGTTTAAAAATGTTTGTGAAATTAGCTAAAAAATCAAATGTATATACATGATGTATGTATAACATGGTGGTGGTATCAATATACTGCATGCATGTATTCATTTAGCGTATGTTTGTTAGTGCCTTCTTTATGGCAGGCACTGTATTAGATCAGAACTATAAGATGAGTGAGATTTGGGCTCAGCTCTTGTGGAACTCACAGACCAACAAATAACCGTAAGGTAAGTGTCCAGCACTTAGCATCCCCAGGCCCTTGGTGGATAGTAGGTGTTAAAGAGACCATATGAGATGATAAAGAGAAAGGGCCTGGGGATGAGAATTTATAGATGAAGTGCTCTTTGAACAGGAATGGAAATTGCCTAGCAGATGTTCCAGATGAGGGTTACCTTTACCTGAGGTCTTGTAAGCAGAGAGAACAGCATATGTGAAAGTGTGGAGTGGTGAAGCTGTACTCATAAGTTCTGGGAATACTGACTAATTTAGTGTTATCATTTTGGTTAGTACAAGTTTCCCTTCAGCATCAAGGAAAGAAGAATGTGGAATGGTACAAGGAAATAATTTTACAATTTGTTCCCTGGATGTGCTTGCTGCTCACTTTCTTCAGTGGCTCTGGGCCTTTTGAGTAACGATTGAATAGGTATTCACTTAGCACTTGGGGCAAGGGAGTGGCTAGTGTCTGGGGAAGGAGTGGTCCTGAAGGTTCAAAGAAAAGCAGAAAGCTTGAAGCGGAAGCAGGTAGGGAGTGAGACCACTGTTTCAGGAAGGAGTTGCCAGGGGAGATAATGAGGATGTTTGACCAGAGCAGAAGGTATGTTGGAGAGAAAAGGAAAGGAAATAAGGTTATGGAGAGCTTTAGTACCAGGCAGAGGGGTGAGTTAAAAGTACCTGAGGTCTTTTCTTGATGCAAAACCAATTTGATGCCTCCCACTTCAGATGTCTGCCTGCTGGGAAGTCTGGTTTGTCAGTGGCAACTGCAGATTTTCAGGGGGTGGTTTGTGAATGGTGTCTTCTTCCTGGCTTCAGGCATGAGGACAGTTATAGCTTTGCTAAATATAGCCAAATCTAGAATTCAGAAGTGAAATCTAGAATAAGCAATTGCATGGTCTTTCCTTTGGTCTTCCTAACAAAGTCATGCTCATTTAATGACAGAAAAGGGAGAGACAGTTTCATGTGGGTTTTGAGTGGGAGAGTATGGAGGAGGCATACACTCATACCTCAGTAGCTAAAACTGCATGTAGGATACACAAGAAAAGCTTGATAAATATTAATAAAGTACACATGAAAAACATTACTGCATCAGAGCAGTCATTTTAGCTAGTAATATTTGACAGTT